TGATGATATCGTGGTAGTGTGTAATAATATTTAACGTTCAATGAAAAGGTCAATTGTGATCTGATGATATCGTGGTAGTGTGTGAGGAGTGAACCTTATGGAAGAGCGGGGAGTGATGATTTAGACGATGTTGAAATGGTGATGTTGATGATAATGATGGTGGTGCTGATGATGATGATGGTGCTGCTGATGATGATGATGGTGGTGCTGATGATAATGATGGTGGTGCTGATGATGATGATGGTGGTGGTGATGATGATGATGATGATGGTGATGATGATGGTGGTGATAATAACAAATAACAAACTTGTTACTCTATCAGGATACGGTACATCAGGTTGATTCAGATCAAGGAGTCTCGTCTCACCGTCAAAGCAATGAATCAATGGCTGTTTGCTATGAAAGTAGCGAACTTCAAGAAACAGGCCAAGATCAACTGGTCTAAGCGATGTACCAGGTAAGAATCAAGAAATAGACCCCTTGCAGTCGGTCGGAATGTAGCTCAATTTGAAGGACATAACAACAGGCTTCCAATTCTCATGAGATTGATTAAGATCTTTTGTCCTCCAAATTGAGCTTATTTAACATCACGTGCAATAGGCCTATACTCCAGTTTTGCACCTCTGTTTTTGAACGACACTAGACTTAGCCTAGTTTATAAGTCAGCTATTCTTAGATACCATTAAAAGTCCATGAGATTTCAAAACATTGGTATTTTTCAACTTGCACATCCTTTACATTACAATTAATTCCAAATTGTATTCAAGATCGTGTGATTTTTTGTTTATTGTTCACTCAACAAAATTTCAGTTAAAAATGCGAAGCGACGTCGTTCATCTTTGTCTATTTGGCGGCCGATTTTCAGTCCATCGCGCAACTGAAATGCATAATAAAGATTAGTTCTTACGGCTTTAAAATTTTATTTATATGTTTTTTAATTACAAAATGATAGAAAATAATTGTTTTGACATTGTTTTGGCCGTGTTGCCATAGTGACTTAATTCGGTACTCCTACGGAGTACAATTAACGCTATAATGGTACTCCTCTCGACCAATCAGAGTCGAGTAATTTTGTTAAGTGTACTATAAGGTCTTAAACGAGAATAAAGAAAAGCAAAGTCTTTAGTCAAAAAACACAGCGTTATCTACCGAGTGAGAAAATGGACTGTAAATGCTATTCGTAAATAATCTCTTATTCCTATCTGACCTTAAGTGTATATCAAGGAAATACTTTAATGTTTCAAAGAGAAGACCACATACAAAAATGCTGCAACCACATTACTACACTTGTCACATATGAGTGATTTTGAATAAATTTTCCCCCCTCGATATACACTTTAATGTAGTGTGTTAAATATTACAAGCAACAACTGGCGTCTTCCAAACATAGATGAACTTGTTTTTCTCCTAATTTTCTTGTGGTTTTTATACAGAAAAGCATGCGAGGAATGGAAGCTGTTGCTGAAAAGAAAGCACCTCGAAGAGACTTTGATTGAGAGCAGACCCACACGGGATACATGGATTCTACGAGGTAAGTAAGCATGGAAAACATTTGAAGCTATTTGCAAATATTGGAACTCCTTTCTTCCTTGTAGCAAAAAGTTGCTTTATCAGAAACACTAAAACAGGTTTTCTTACTACGCCTTTGAAAATCATTTTCTTTGACATTTTGTTCTTAGTGGCTTGGAATACGTGGATGAAGAAGAAGAAGATAGCGAACCAAGAACTTGAAAGAGTCATCACAGTGAAGACCATCTTGGCAAGGAACTTCAAGCGTCGTATCTTGCAGGCCTGGAGAGTGACCAACCAACAACAGCAGATCATTGCTCCAATGGTTCAAAGGCGAGAACGCAAGCACATCGCTAGGTATGCTGGGATATACTGGGGTAGTGGCTTTTGTTTATTTTGGAGGTCATATCGCTAGGTATGTCGGGATATGCCGGGGTAGTGGCTTTTGTTTATGTTGGAGATCACATCGCTAGGTATGTCGGGATATGCCGGGTAGTGGCTTTTGTTTATTTTGGAGGTCACATCGCTAGGCATGTCGGGATATGCCGGGTAGTGGCTTTTGTTTATGTTGGAGATAACATCGCTAGGCATGTCGGGATATGCCGGGGTAGTGGCTTGGGTGTGGCTAGTGCTTGGTCTTGCTTGAGTACAAACATCTTTTTGCTTCATCATGCCTTATATGGTGTTCATACCCAAGCTAGACCACAATACATCCTGATTGTCGAACTCAGAGAAGGCCTTTGTCAAGAATAACATATATTTAGATTTCTACTAAAACATTATTCCTTTTTCCAGAGCATTCGATGCATGGAGGTTGTACCTTCACAGACAAAAGTATATCGTCAACCAACAAAGTAGAGGCGATGAGAAACTCGTGGACCGACACTTCTTGTACTGGAGGTAAGATTTCTTTCTTTTATATTTCAAGAGACACGTTTGGAAACGCCTTGATTGACGTCCATCAAAAGCTTCTTCGTCGCGACAGAAACAATCGTTAGAGCGGCGTGTGTGATTAAGAATGGCTGTAAGAGTTTCAAAGTGTAACAAGGCCTTAAGTCTAATATCTGCTATTGGAAACTAGTGAGACGAATTCACCAGGGGGCGCGGTGGTATTGACTGATTGTATATCATTTTTCAGAGATCGTGTGATGCTGAGGATCAAGGAGCGCAATGCTGTCACAAGCCTTCAAAACTCCAAGTTAACAAGAGCCTTCAAAGCTTGGCAAGGTAATCGGTACTCTCTTCATTACACTATCGAAAGCTACTCGGAAAGTAATCGATAAATGATCGGCGAGTTCTCCCCCTTCCGCACTTTACTCCATTTATTTAGTTGTACGATATATATTTTCAATAATATTTCTAGCCCACGTGCGTGAAATTCGACACCAGAAACTGAAGGAGCGAGCAGAACGGCTTCAACTCTTGTCCGTTTACTTCAACAAGTGGACGATTAGCGCTGAAGCACGTGCAGAAGAAAAAGAACAACGACAAGCCAACCAGGTAGGAAACAATCGTACAAATGAATAAATAGAAATGTTATTTTGTTGTAAAGAAAAAATTTTTCTTTCCACATCGTCAAAGTGCCTATGACACCTAACTCAATATTTTCAGCACTGATTCTACATGAAGTGAATGGTTAAATGCTGAAAAACTTCCAATATGCTAATGAGTGTGATGTCATAAGTGGCTTAAGTAATATATACACAGTATGAGTGGCCGTGTTGTATCAGATATACAACCACGAGGCGTAGCCGAGTGATTGTATATCTGATACATCACGGACACGAATACTGTATATGACTTATCAAACGTCTAGGTTAGTTCCTTTGTGTTTCACTAAAATTTTCAACATTAAAGTGAATTTGGCCAAGAAAATCCAACTTAAAGTTTATGCAAATGAACACAGTTTTGTATCAGATTTACAACACTCTTCACGGTCGTGATTTCTGTTGTGTTTTCCTCATGAATTATTCATGAGTTTGATAAATAATATACAAACTTTTCTGGGGCAGAAAAAATATCCTGTATAAAACTTCAATGTCTTACTCATGGTTTATAGAAATGTGTTTCAACGTACAAATGATGACAATTAAATTCAAATGCCTTCTATGACATCACACTCATTAGTATACTGGAAGTATAAACCTTGATATCTCCAATATGCATCACTCAAATCATGTAAAAATACTTTACCATTCAACTATATACTTCATGTAGAATTGATACTGAGAATATTGAGTTATAGGCACTTTATATTATATTCCTTTTCATAATTACACGACCCAGACAACCAGCTCTTATTCAAAATGTCCGAGCTATGAGTTAGTCATTCTTGAGATACGATTGAACTGCATTCTAGACCTTTTTATTTATTTTCTTGCGCCTCTCTCTAGGCCCGTAAAGTTCTTCTCGTTCGCTGGGGATTCCGGTACTGGAAAGAATCTTCAGAGCGACAAAGACTTCGTTTGAATCTGATAGAAGAAGAGGTTACGTCCAGTAGGAATCGTTTGGCCTTGAAGCGGTTTTTTGACACCTGGAAAAGATGGTTCACTGTAGCTAACATTGCAAGGTGAGTTTTAGAGTAGGACATTCGACATTTTTGCTAGGATATAAAAATTCCATCTCCTCCAACCTCAATTCTCCTACAGCTCCTTTCTTCCCTTCTTTTTTTATTTGTCTTTTCTTTTTCCCGGTGCTTCCTCTTATTCGCCACTGCTTCTGCTTCTTCCCCGCTGCTTCTGCTTCTTCCATACTGCTTCCGCTTCTGTCCCGCTGCTTCCGCTTCTTCTCCACTGCTTCCGCTTCTTCCATACTGCTTCCGCTTCTTCCCCGCTGCTTCTGCTTCTTGCCCACTGCTTCCGCTTCTTGCCCACTGCTTCCGCTTCTTGCCCACTGCTTCTGCTTCTTCCCCACTGCTTCTGCTTCTTGCCCACTGCTTCTGCTTCTTGCCCACTGCTTCCTCTTCTTCCCCACTGCTTCTGCTTTTTGCCCACTGCTTCCGCTTCTTCCCTCCCCACTGCTTCCGCTTCTTCCCTCCCCACTGCTTCCTCTTCTTCCGCTTCTTCCCCACTGCTTCTGCTTCTTGCCCACTGCTTCCGCTTTTTCCCCACTGCTTCCGCTTCATCCCCTTGTGCCTATCCATCTTCCATTCCTCCTCCTTGCTCTTTCTCCTGTTCCTTCCTTCCCCACCCCTCCCTTCTCTCCTATTCCCTTCCTCTATCCTCTCCCATCTCAATTCTCCTTTTCGTCCCTGGCTCCCTCTACTTGTTGTATCTGTTCTCTATCTTGAGAAAGGTAGAGAAGTGTCTCTACAAGCAGGGTAGTAGTAAATGTTCCTTGAGCTACCTATGTTTTCTTTTTAGTTTTTAGTAATTTTAATTTAGTCTAAACATCCAGTGCTAGCTTCTCGGCTTCATCGGAAAACGCGCTTTATGAATAAAGTTTATCATTATTAAGTCCAAGAAAATCTAAGCATTCTTTTTGCATCCACAGAGATCACATCGCATACCGAAGAGACAACCTCCTACGCACTGCCTTCACTGCGTGGGGTAACTTCATCAAACAAGAGATAAACGAACAAGTCAATCGATTCAGCACAGGACTATCCCTTGACTGTTCCATGGGATCCAATATGGGATCGTTGTTGCGTTCTACCATGGATTCGTCGGCTTCGGACTATTTATCGTCTTCTGGTTACGGGACTTCGTTTAGGCGAGGATCGGGGAGTGTGTTCCCGTTGAGGAGTCCTGGTATCAGCCAACGAGATGATGATGTAAGATATTATTAATAACTATTTATTGGTATCAGCGAGCGTTGCTGATTTAGGGAATCAGGAGTAGCGTAGCGGTACAGCACTCAACACGCATATCTGGGGTCTCTAGTTTGCAAGGTCTCTTCCTTGCGATTCGAGGTTTTTCTTCTTCAATTTTTCCGGTTTTCCTCCCTCCACACTAAACACACTAAATCCCAATTTGATCTGTGAGTTAGCCATGCCCTGACTTAGATCAGCCCAGAGGTTGTTTCAGGGTTCACTCTGTGAGTTAGCCATGCCCTGACTTAGATCAGCCCAGAGGTTGTTTCAGGGTTCAATCTGTGAGGTAGCTGTGCCCTACTTAGATCAGCCCAGAGGTTGTTTCAGGGTTCAATCTGTGAGTTAGCCATGCCCTGACTTAGATCAGCCCAGAGGTTGTTTCAGGGTTCAATCTGT